CACCAGTCAACTCCATCCACATCCATGTGGCCCTTGAAACTGTCATATTTTTACTTTTCCAGACACTCTACAATCTGACATAAACATCTTTTATCATAAAAGTCAAACAAAAATGGGCTGATAGGAATTCGGTGGATCTTCCATGCTCCCTACAATCCACAGTTACCTAGCATTATTGAGCATTGAAATCCTTCTTAAAAAATTGTTTTTAAAAATTTCTAACTGCCTCTTTCATTTACTCTTGTTCCATACACCTTCTTAAGGCAGTCCCCCTCATAGCTGCTTTCTGACTATGATCAGGATGAACAAAGTAGGAGTTACACAATCTATTTTTAAAATGCAGAATTCCACCCTAACTATTTCTGAGCATGATACATCTTTCTTTCCCCACTGGCAACTCCAGGCTACCTGGTTGGTAAACCCTACAAGGTGGCTTTCAAACAATCTTAATTCCAATTCACACATCTGAATTCCCTTGTTACACTGAATGATTTTCAGAGTGTAAAGAGAAAGATCCCTTAGTTGAGTACACTGCTCACTTAATTCCTTATAGTGGACCATGTTGGCCAAAGTGGGAGGCACAATGAATTCCTGTAAATTTCATTAAATTTATTTGTTCCTCTTGTATCTGAACCTTCTGACTAAAAGGTCCAGTGCAAGTAGGGGATGACTTGACAGAAAATGAAGTTATAACTACCGGAATGGGACACATTTGATTTTGTAATAGTTGAGGCAGTACAGAATGAACAGCCCTTATCTGAAACGCCTGGGACCAGAAGTGCTTCAGATTTCAGATTTTTTTGGATTTTGGAATCTTTGTATTATTACCAGTTGAGCAGCCCTAATGCAAAAATCTGAAATCCAAAATGCTCCAATGAGCATTTCCTTTGAGCATGACATCAGCAATCAAAATGTTTCAGATTTTGAAGCACTTTGGATTTTGACTTTTCAGATTAGAGATACTCTATCTTTGTACTGCTCTCAGGGTTACGAAGAAGAGAAACACTTCTAATTTATCCTTATTGTGAATACGCTGTCCTTTGACGTACTATTTAATAAGGAAAATGATGTTCCTTTAAGGCTCTCCACCTTATACTGACAATGGCCTTTGACTTCTTTTCTTCCATTCAAACAAAGACAGAAGGCTCCATTTCATTGCTCAAAATGCAGACTGTGGCAAATGCTTGAGATGGGGAAGCTTAAGCACCTATTTCTTTTCTTTCTTTCTTTTTTTTTTTTTGAGTTGGAGTCTCACTCTATTGCCTAGGTTGGAGGACAGTCGCATGCTCATGGCCACCATAGCCTCGGCCTGCTGGGCTCAGGCGATCCTTCCACCTCAGTCATCCAAATCGCTGGAACTACAGGCATGAGCCACCACGCCTGGCTAATTTTTTGATTTATTGTAGACATGAGGTCTTGCCAAGTTGCCCAGGCTGGTCTCGAACCCATGAACACTGGCAATCCTCTCACTTCAGCCTCTCAAACTGCTGGAATTACAGGTATGAGCCACCACATTCAGCCTTGGGCACCTATTTCTTTCAGATGCCTAGAATATATAAGGAAAGTAGTAACATCACAGAAATCCTACCATTAAAACCAAGACCCAGGCTGCTATTTAATCAAAAGCTCACTGAAGTGAAATATCACATTAATTTCCACAAGATTTTTAAAAAACAAAAAGAAGCAACTTACAGAAATTGAAATTAAACTAAAAAAGATAATAGCTAACCAAAATACAAAATCACTAGAGGAAAAAATTCCTTCGTCTACCATTTACTGAGATAGTTGGAGTTGTGCTTCTTAATGATTTGAGCTAGGACTTAGTCCTACCTTCTACTGAACTACTTCAAAGTTATTTCCATGAGGTGCCATTTTCTGAGATCAGACAAGATCAGGCACACACAGGGTGGCATAGCCATTTTCAAAGAAAAGTACCAAAGACAGGCAAAAAAGCAGTCACAATGTAGTTTATTACCAAATTTCAACCATCCATACTATTGCTGTTCTAGCAACAATAACAAAATAATTATAATAAAAACATCTAATTCTGACAGTAAAAAGTAATTATATTATGAAGCATACTTTTAAAATGTTCTACTTAAGAAATGTTACCAAAAAATTTACAGATGCCTAAACACAATTAGGATTGTAAGATGAAAAAAAATAGGCTTCATCTCATCTAATTATACATAATAATGTAGTATTCTAAGTGTGTGACATCATATTAAAGTATGTCTACTGAAATATAGTCATAGACAAATGATTCTGAGATTTGGAAAGGTTTCCCATATTAACTTAGGTAATGAAAAAAAGTTATATTTACTTTCAAGTATGATATATAAATTTCTTCCTTTAAAATGTACCATTTAAAATGCACTGTGTCTCACAACTGTAATCCCAGCACTTTGGGTGCCCTAGACAGGAGCATCATTTGAGCCCAGTAGTTCGAGACCAACCTAGGTAACATAGTAATACCTCATGTCTACAAAAAGTAAAATAAAATAAGCACATGTCTTAGTCCCAGAGACTTGGGAGGCTGAGATGGAAGAATCACTAAGTCCAAGAGGTCCATGGTGCAGTGAGCTGTGATCATGCTACTGCACTCCAGCCTGGGCACAGTGAAACTCCAACTCAAAAATAAATAAAATAAAATAAAATAACAAAATGAATAATTTACTCTTTTGAATTTAGAGTCCTACATCTTAATAAAACTCATATAAACAAATATCTGCCAAATGTTTAGCTAGAACTCTCACATGCTTTTTCTGATACATGGTTTACATATGTGTTTACTAATGGCCTATTTTGCATTTAACATTCTTTGGTTAATTGCATTTTCTCTTTTTTAGTCAGGATCTCACTCTTCCATCCAGGATGAAGTGCAGGATCACAATGATCATGGTTCACAGCAGCCTTCACTTCCTAGGCTCTGGCAAACCTTCCACCTCAGTGTCCCAAGTAGCTGAGACTACTGGCACGTGCCATCATGCCTGGCTAATTTTTTTGAATTTTTGTAGAGACAAGGTCTCACTATGTTGTCCAGGCTAATCTCAAACTCCTGGGCTCAAGCAATTCACCTACCTCAGCCTCTCAAGTGCTGGGATTATAGGCATGAGCTACCACACTCAGTCAGCAAATTATAAAATCTACACATACCAAGAAAAAAAAACTATATTTTGCAATGGCAAATTAATGTGACTCTTTTACATAAAGAGTATAATTTTATGGCATGTTACATAATGCCAAATACTGTAATGTTACCTATACTAAAAATATCTATTAAATATTTACTATTTTAGGAGTATACTAAAATTTAAAAGACCAAGAATAAAAAGAGCATTACCTTGAAAAGATTTTTTTTTTCAAATTTGAGTAAACTTAGTATCCAAAACAATATATAACATATACATTAAATATTAAGTTAGGAATAGCCTCAATCCCTTTACCTTTAAATTACTTTCATTTTTATTATATAGTTAGTATGTTGTTTTAATTAGAAAACACAAAATACAGAACTACTAATACTAATTGAGTATATGAACTTCCAGATGTTTTTGTATTTGTATGCTAATATAAATTCATATCAACAAAAATATACATATAATTTTTAAATATTTGTTTCAAGTATACATTCTATTTTCTAACCCTTTTTCACATAGTAAATCGCCATGCTTCTCATACATGAAATCCAACTTGTGTTTTCATTTAAAGTATTTCTCATTTAAGTTTAAGTACTATCAAGTTTTACAATTTTTCAAGACAATTTTATATTTCAATTTCTTAAAAATAAAAAGACAAAATCTAATTTCTTAAATACTTCACACAATAAGCCTCTTTGGGTTTTCATTTAAAATTCCTGGCATTAAATACAAGTAACAAATAATGAGGGGAATAATGAATTTTAATTAAGTCTTTACATCCTAAAATAAAGAGAATGTCTTAAAGTAGTTTCCAAAGTAACATTTAAAGATACTAAAACCTATTACTAAGAAAAAACAATCATGTGCCTTTGCTAAACATAGCATTTTGGGACTTCTCCTACCCTATAGTAATCTCAGATCATTTAGAAAGAAATAGCCTATTGATTTTGTGCCAAGGAAAATTATCTGAGGAAGCTGGTACATGCTGCTACCAAAGAACTGTGTTACAGTGAAAAGAACACCGAAGTCATAAGACCCATCTGAGCTGTGTACCATTGAAAAATTGTTTAACCTCTTGAAACTTAAATTTCTTCTTTAGTAAGATAGAGTTATCACTGCCTCCAAATAGCTGTTTATAGGATTATAGTAAGTTATAAAGTTTTCATAAAGCCAACATTGTTTAGTAAAAAAAACAAATTTATTTATTCTTTAGGTAGACCCAATTGTTTCAAACTAAAAAGTTTCTATTACTAAATTTAAAAATGCATTCTCTCACATATCTTGGAAAATATTTCTTTAAAATATATACGTAACATACTATCATACTAGAGATCAGAGATTGGCAAACTACCACCCATGAAACAAGTCCAGCTGGCAGCCTGTCTTTGTAAATCAAGATTTACTAGCACACAGCCATACTCATTTTGTTATATATTAGCTTCGGCTGCTTTTGCACCAGAATTGCGTAGCTGCAACAGAAACCATAGAGCCAACAAAGCCAAAAATGTTTACTATTAGCCCTGTACAGAAAAAGCATGCTGACCCCTGCTATAAATTATTGTAAGCTGAATTGGACAGTGCATCCAAAAGGGATTAGGAAGAGAAAACAAAATAAAATAAATATTAAAATATGCCCCTCAACTTAATGGCCCTTAATACCATTCCAAAATCTTAAAACTCAACTGCAATTGAAACTAAATATAAAAGTTTTAGTTACACAAAATTTTAAAACAATACTGAAGCATATTAATCATGTATTTGAAATAACAAAAGTATATCTTATTACCTCTTAAAATTAATTCAAGCCAATTATTATTATAAATAGTGATTATATCTGCTTTATATAAATTGTGTTTTTACCTGCTAATGGCTTGTTCCTCATCAGTTATCCCAGTCTCCCGGAATGCCCTGTTTGATTCCGCCAAACTCAAGGCAATTGCTCTCTGAAGATCATCTTTATCATCTCCTGTGAGATCAATGACATCTGAAAAGCAAAACTATCTTTCTCAAAATTAAAAGTCAAACAAAATGAAAGGTAATTCTTATCAAGGAGATCTTATACCCAATATACCCTTTCAAACCAAAGTCAACACCAATTTAATTTTGTATTTCTCTTATAAGAGTCTATCTAAAAGAATGCCAACACATTTTAATTGGTTATACTTGGTAACCCAATGTTCTCTACAAAATATACCTAGAGCAATAAGAGCAGAAATACTTTTCATTGCAGAAAAATCTCAGTAGTTACTATGAAGTCTCTTATTAACAACAAATAAGCAGAAAGACTTCTGAGAACAGTTTCTTTATCAACAAAAACTGAAATCAACACAATTAAACATTTACATTTTGTATTCTGAAGCTAACACAATTACACACACATCACATTTTGTCCATACTACCATCTAGACATTAACTATCAAATTATAAGAATTAGTAACCAAGTCCTCAAAAATGTATGTTTCAGAAAGTGACCACAGATATATGTTTATATGTGCATATTTTAGAGTCTGAAAGAATGTGCCAAACTGTTCACAGTGGTCAATTATGAGGAAAGGGTAATAGGTAGAAGAAGTTTAAGGATCTTTTACTTGTCATTTTAAACACATTTGTACCATCTGAATTATTCAATAAACAGTTGTTTTAATTTAAAATTATTCACATTTCAAAAAAACAAAGAAATATACAAATGAATGAAACAACCTTCTAACAAAAAAACGGCATTGATGCTACAAGTATTAATTCTTTTTCCAAAGAATAAGGTTTACAACTAATGCCATCTTCAGTAAAACCACTTTTAATCCAATTCCCAATATACACCGGTCAATTTCCTTAACCTAGAAGATGCCAAAGATAAACACTCCCATTATCATTTAAAGAATAATAGAAACTATAGTATACTGTTAAATAGGGAAAGTAGAAACAGGTTACAAAACAACATGATAAGAAAGAGAAAGAAATATACCTGTTATATCTTGTCTTTGCATGATTGGGATTATGGGTATTTGCATTTTAGACATGTTGAAATTTTATTTTTTTCTTTGTAATCATAGAATTTTATATAAGCGATACAAACAAAAGGAGTAGAGGATAGGCAGGAGAATGGGAGGGGAATAAGATTCCTTCATTTTATCGCCTGGTTATGAAACTTTATATATTAATAGAAGATATTAGAAAAGACTGTTCCATACTTAAGAAAAAATTAATGTACACTGATGATTTCAAAAGTCTACCTCTCTTGTCATCCACACTTTTTTCCTCCAAATAGTAGATTACAAGAAATTTAATGTACTAAAAAGAATAACTGCCCATAGAAAGTGGTGGTGTTTATTTTTTATGTCCTCAGAGTACAATAAAACCTCACAAAAGTGCAATAAGCAGGATCCCTAAAATGTCAATGAAGTAAAATGTGGAAGACAGTAATAGAGCAAAGTAAGTGAAATGCTGGAGTACCTTAGCAGGCCAAAGATTTCACAAGTCTGGTTACAATACCCAAGTCTACCCACACCACAGCTGAGGACAGGTTGTCACCTGGAATTGGATAGTACAGCCCAAATATTAATGAAGAAGCAGCTAGGCTTAGAGAGGATCACATGCCTCATAAAAATGAGAGCTATGTTGGTCATTAAAATGGCTGGAACCTAGGTAAATAAAGAAAGGGTAATGAAAGTAGAAAAACAATCTGAAAATCAGAAAGCAGAAAAATAAGTTTTAGGGATATGATCAATTAGCCCTCAGACTCCAATCTCTCATCCTCTCATCCTCCTACTGTGTTTTCTTCAACTACAGAAACTTAAAAATTCTTTAAAACAGAAAAGCGACCTTCCTTACTCACCTGTATTTAGGGGTTTAAATAAAAACTAGGGTTACATCAACTGAGTGCACTAACATGAGACTTGGAAGGCAGGGTGAGAGGAAAGCCATTATCCTACTGCCTTGGGCTATTTTCTCTAGCATAACTGAACAGATGTAAGCTGTTCCACAACAGCATTCCAGGATCCAATTTCCAGCATCAGAGATATCAAGAGATGGAACAGAAGTGGCAACTAGACTCTGCATTTCAAAAAAACAGGCATAGCTCAGTGGCAGTTACCTAATCCTAACTTCCCGTTCTCTAGACCACAGCTACAGAGGTATACCCTTGAACTCAGCAGTCCTAAAGTTTTTCTAATTGTAGCAGAAGAAGTAGCTTCGCTGGCTGGTCCATCCTGCAGTGATCTAGGAGTCATGTCAGAAGTCAGAGCTAGAGATAGTTCATCCAGTCCTTCCAGTGATTTTTTTTTTTTTTTTTTTTTTTTTTTAGAGAACCTAATCTCCTATATTAAACTCCTGCTTTGAAAACATGTCGAACTTTTGCTGTTTCATGACTGACAAGAAAACCAAATGGGTCAGGGCAAAAACTCATTCAGAAGTAACAATTTACAGCTTTTTATAATTTATCAATTGTAATTCAAACAACAGAAGAGCAAAAAAAAGTCAAGATGGTTTTTTCATCCTATTTCATAAGTGAAATAATTGAGAAATGAAGTGCAACATTGTACGAATAGAGAATGGTACAAAGACCTCAAATTTGTCTTCTAACTCTTAAATCCAGCAGTCTTTCTACCTTAACTAGCAGCCAAGTATTGTCCATTGAACCTTGGCTTTCCCATGACTCCTTTCAAAAGGGGGGAAGGATTCCTTATGTAAAAAACATACTTATAATAATACTCAAATGTTCTTTACCTGTCCTATTGTGGTCACATTTGCACTGATGGTGCAAAACAAGAATGGGTAAAACTTCTGCATCTTAGCATCAAGTTGTACAACTCACTGTATTACTCACAAATATGCACACTCACTGTTTTTCTTTGTGAGTTGGAGTCTCGCTCTGTCGCCCCGACTGGAGTGCAGTGGCCGCTCCCGGCCACCGCAGCCTCGACCTGCTGGGCTCCGGTGATCCTTCCGCCTCAGCCTTCCAAGTAGCTGGAACTACAGGCGCGCGCTACCACGCCCGGCTAATTTTTTTGATTTATTGTAGAGATGAAGTCTCATCTGCCCAGGCGGGTCTCAAACCCGCAGGCTCAGGCAATCCACTCACCTCAACCTCCCAAATTGCTGGATTACAGGCTGAGCCACCGAGCCTGGCTCATACTCACTGTTTAAAAAAAAAAAGTCAAGCCAGTTTTTCTTAATGAAAAGAAAAAAATCAATTGTACTAAATCTCAAACTTTGGTCTATGTGTTTTTTAAAATTTCATATGACAAAATAGGAAGTACAGATTCTGCTATATATTCAAAGTATGCTATTGCTAAAGAAAAAAATATTAACTAGTACAATATGAGTTATAAGCTGTATTAATTTTTTTAATGGAATATCATTTTTTACTTAAAAGAACTAGCAAACTACAAACCAAGATTATTCAGACTTCAGTATTTGGCATATTTTTTTCAGAAATAAGCAAACTGGCTGGCCACAGTAGCTCATGCCTCTAATCCCAGCACTTTGGAAAGCCAAGGTGGGAGAATTGCTTGAGCCCAGGGACTCAAGCCCAGCCTGGAAAACACAGTGAGACCTCATCTCTACAAAAAAATTAAAAAATCAACCAGGCATGTTGGTATGTTCCTGTAGTCCCAGCTACTCAGGAGGTTGAGGTGGAAGGATCGCCTCCACCCAGGAAGATGAGGCTGCTGTGAGCTGTGATGGCTCCACTACACTCCAGCCTGCATGACAGAGTGAGATCCCTGACAGAAAAAAATAAAGTCTGTTGCTTTAAGGAAAACAAATAAGAGCATTTGTTGGCAATAACTAACACAGAATTTTCAAGCTAAAATCACAAATTTGAAAAACCTGTTTCTAGGTATTCTAAGGCTTTTTTGGTGAAATCAGTGGTGATATTAGTAATTTAATATTAATATTAAATTTAATATTAATAAATTAAACTTTTTATTATATAGTAGAAATTCTCCCAACATTTGAAAGGAAACCTTTTCAAATCTTTTCAAGTGTACAGAAGCATGCATGGTCAAAAGATTCATTCAAAAAGCAAGACAGATTAATGGATTTTAATGCAGCATAGTACAAAAAGGTCACAGATACCATGATGGGATCTTGGACTCCACACTGGAAGTGATCTTTAAGAAACTACCACTGATGTGGTGGGTGCGTTGGCTCATGCCAGTAATCCCAGCACTCTGGGATGCCAAGGGGAGAGGACTGCCTGAGCACAAGGGTTCAACTCTAGTCTGGGAAACTTAGTGAAACTTCATCTCTACAATAAATCAAGAAAAATTAACTGGGCGTGGTGATGCATGCCTGTCATTCCAGCTACTTGGAAGGCTGAGGCGGAAGCACCACCTGAGCCCAGCAGGTCAAGGCTGCAGTGGCCGTAAACGTGTCATAGCACTCCAGGCTGGGCAACAACAGAGTGAGACTCTGACTCAAAAAGCAAGAAACTATCATTTGTAATGTATTGATATAGCCTTATAATATATATCCATTATTATCTAGTCAGTTAAAATACTCCTTCCTTTTTCAGCTTTATATCTGTGGAAAGTGAGACTTTTCTTCACGAACTTCAACCAAAACAAACTTATTCCAACAGCACACAAACCTTCAGAAGATTTGAGACTCTAGCTCTTTTCTAATATGGCAGACATTAGAGATTTGCAAAAATGTAAAACAATATACTCTTCTTAATAATTTTGTTTCAGAAAATATATTTTTCATAAAAATTTTATTTATTAGGAAACATAAGAAACTGATATTTTGATTTGAATTTATAAATATTTGAAGCTTTTCTGTTTTAACTTCTAATAAAGTAAATATTTCATATAGTCAAAAGCTCTTAGAGGTCCTTAATTTTAGTGAGTCTAAAGGGATCCTGAGATAAAAAATAACAAGAATCACTATCTACTACATGTTCTTAGTTTTTTAATAAAACAAATCATAACTGAAGATTATTTTCTTTAAATTGCACAATGTGATTTTTAAAATTTGAACTGGCAA